TGTGTAAAATACAAAGTGAAACGACAAACCAATGGAAATTGCTTTTAAAAGGTTGAATATCGATCTACTGTCATATGTCGAAGACCAATAATCACGAAGTATTAAATCAATAATGGTTCATAATCGAGAGATAAAAATGTTAGCTGTTAAATAATTAAATAGTTGTGGTATTTCAATGGATCGATAACATGCTTTTGGATAGTTTATATTTATTACAAGAAGGAAGTAAGACTTGGTTATTGGATTTTTGCCATCATGTGTCATAAATAATATACACTATAATATAAACAAATTAAATCGATAAAAATATTTTAAATAATAATAATTAACAGCATAACAATTGAACACGTATCTAAATTTAGAATTAAAATATCGAAATGCTGAAATATACTTTACATATAATACAAATAATGATTTAGTTTACACAACGATCGAATGTTCATCAAGTTAATTACCTGTTTTCGAACATTCGATACAATAACTTTTATTATCGAGAGACGAAAGATTAAATTATTACTTTTGTAAATCAGCCGAGAGGGAAATTCGCTGGAAAATGGTAATTAATACATCGCGACGTAACACGGCTGGATAATTAATTAAGCTTATTTTGGAATCATGCAGTCCCTTTAATGAAACATCGGATACAATATTAAGGACAATGCTTGTCAATCAATTTTTGATAATACATACACGTTATTAAATTTGTGTTCTTCCGTGAAACAATATGAAAATTTCTTTTATTCTTGTTTATTCCTCATCAGTTTCCTCACAGTTGTTTAAAGTTAAAATGAGATTTGGCATTTCATCGGAAAAATAGAGAATAATTATTATGGAGAAATAATACTGGAATATAATAGTTATGGAAGCTTCTGACGATTCATTGTGAAGCATTTAAATGATTAACAAAAGAGAGATAATAATTGAAACAGTACAACAGTTATAATTAACGAAAAGAGTAGGGAGGAATTAAAGAGGATTAACATACAGCTTTGAATAATTTTATAATCCTTTTTATAAAAGTGGCTATTTATAGAATAATATTTAATCGAAGAAATAATTCAATTATAAAGCATTGAAAAGAAAACAAATTTAATGTTTTAATAATACATTATATATTAATCAATTATCAATAGACTAATGAATGTTCGTGCAAATTGAAATATTACATTTTATTACATTTTAATTTAACTATTTTATCTTTATCATATCGTATAGAGTACATACACTTTTATATATTTTCTAAACTTTTCAGAATTTTAAATTATTTGATTTAACAATTAATCAATCTTCTGCAATAATTTTTGCTTATTACACATATTACATGCACGAACGAATTGCAATTTATCTGAAAGCTAATTCACGAGGAAGTTCATTAAGGGATATAATTTCATTCCTAAAACTGTCATCTTACCAACCAGCCACGTTCGATATCTCTGTTCTTCTTACAAGCGACAAATATATTATGCGATCTCGAGACGCAATAGGTCGAAATCCTTCTAACGCAACTCATTACTGTTCGCATCGCAGGCGTGCAGAATAATGTGGCCCAAGTTTCGAGCATAATTATGTAGCGTAAGGGTAATTACACCGTGCCACGTGGGGAATTTCAAGTTTCCTGCGCTTTCGCGCATCCACGCCATAATTGTGCGCACTCGTGCATGTAACACGAAAAATATATTTTGGCTTGAGTTTCCTAAGGATAGAATTCCATCTGTTTGTACGAAAAATTATGAAAGGAAGGATTTAATTTATATCTCTCTTATATCTATATTAATCGATCATTGGATGATTTAAGGATCAATAGAGAATTAATATATATATAGAATGTTAATATATTCATGAAATATCTTTGGAGATTGAGACATCACAGAAAAAAAAAGTGATATATTCATAATCGTAGTGTGGAAACCTAACTAATTTCAAAATGTGTTTAACTCAAAAAAAAAAAAAAAAAAAAA